TTCCGGTCTTCTCTGCTTCTCGGGTTCTTCTTAACGGAGAAGGTAAGCATTTTCTCGGAGCGAATATTGATGGCCAGCCATCGTCAACAGGACGCACCATGCGTAAAGCTCCACTGTGTTGCATCTTCTCATATCTTGACGGTGTTGCCGCCTTAAATCATTGAAGATGTGAAGAAAATAAGTATGAACACTTTCTTGTTTTTTAAGGAAAAAGAGCAGGTATTGAGAAACATTTCGTTTTAGTCAGATGGCAATAGTTGAATCCTACTGACTCACCTTTGCGGATAGGTAAGGTAGAATTCTAAACTGAAATCATTGAGTCCATTTATTGATTATTAAGTGTCAGCCAATCGAACAGAGGATTGACTTTTTTTAAATTTCTTATGGTTTATTTAGCTTTATTTTATGTGTATTGGTGTGAATGTGTCAGATCCCCTGGAACTGGATTTTCAGACAGTTGTGAGCTGCCATAAGGGCGCTGGGATTTGAACCCAGGTCCTCGGGAAGAACAGCTGAGCCATCTCTCCAGCCCCCGAGGATTCACTATTATTTGTAGGATGAACCCGTTTTATTTGTGAGGGGTCATATATAATAGCCACCTACAAGTCGGGGAATTAAACTGCAAAGGCTGGTTTGGAATAATCTTTTCCAGACAATTAAACTTTTCTGTCTTGTCCTGTCACGTGTAGCGTACGATGTCACATGCGTGCAGTTCTTTACCCCGCCACTGAAACTTCAAAGACGAGTCAAACAGAGACCAAAACATCTGAAAGTCAGCGATTTGGGGCATTAGAAATGTCCTTAGCTCAGCATGTGTGCTGTTAATAAATAACAGATTCAGAAGTGTGTCTTGCCTTTGCGATGTTTTCAGAGGAGAAAAAAAAAAGTGAAATTGCAGAGGATAGGATAAATTTTAACCATAATGGTTGATAGAGTTTCAGCGTAAATCCAATTTTCAGCAATTTATAAACATGATATTTTGGTAGTAATAGGACATTTTGAAACTATCCACATTCATGAACTAAAAAATAAAAAAAAAAAAGTGGATGTGTATGCCAGACTGCCTAAAAGCCGTCATTTACTCCACAGACGTTACCACATTTCGCTGATAGAAAACCACACTGGGCAGGCTAATTACCTAACAATCACTCACTCAACAGATTGTTTAACATCTATTATTTTTAGGGCATTGGGGTGGGGGATGAAAACGAAATTCTTTGCACAATCTTGGGGCAATTTTTCTCGACAGGGTACTTTGAGTATTGGTAGGTTCGATTTGAGCAGTTTGGGGCCAGTTAAGGGCCGAGAGGTTAGCATGCTACTGGCAACATGGGTATTGCATCCCTTCCTATTTTTGATGCTTGACAATTGCATTGCTGATCGGGGTCCTTCATTAATTAATCAATGAGCTGTTTGGAGAAATAAAGTGAAATTTTTATCCCTAAAATTCCCTCGTCACCATTTGATATTTGTCCACATATTTCACAGTTTATCTTTTTGATTTTTGAGACAGGGTTTCTCTGTGTGGCTTTGGAGTCTGTCCTGGAACTTGCTCAGTAGACCATGCTGGCCTCAGAATAACAGAGAGCCATCTGCCTCTGCCTCCTGAGTGCTGGGATTAAAGGGGTGCGCCACCACCGTCGGGCTTCAACAGTTTATCTTCTGTCTGTCTTCCCTGCACCCCTCTGTTGGGATGTAAGCTCTCTGTGCAAGCAGACATTTTGAGGATTTTGTCCAATACTGAATCTTCACTACCTATGAATATCTGGCATGTGGCTGTATTACAAAAGAACTTATTGCATGAATACAGAATGAATCAAGATGAAAGAGCCCCAGAATAGAAACTAAGGCGAAAAAAAAACAAGGTTCATAGTTGATCTATTCTTTTTGTAAAAACTTATGCACAAATTATGTAAATACACAAATGAATTCTGAGTTTGCGCATGTGGGCCCATCCTGAGAGTCTCTGAGAAAATACGTGGGAAAGTGACTCACTGGGTGTCTCAGGTGAGACAACAGAAAAATCTAACCAGCCATCAGAAGGGGAATCCCCTTACCCCCACTTTCCCCAGGTAGCTTTGAATATTAGGCAACATACATGCACTATACATTCAAAACTAACGTTAAAAATGTCTGGTTTAAGGGGCTAGAGAGATGGCTCAGCAGTCAAGAGCTCTGACTGTTCTTCCAGAGGACCAGGTTCAATTCCCAGCACCTACATGGCAGCTCACAACTGTCTGTAACTCCAGTTCTAGGAGATTTAACACCCTTACACAGACATACATGCATGCAAAACACTAATGCACATAAAATAAAAATAGATCATTTTTTTAAAAAAAAATTGCCGACTTAGCAGGGCATGGTGGGTTACACCTCTAATTTCCACCCTTGGGAGGCAGAGGCAGGTGGATCTCTGTAAATTCAAGGCCAACCTGGTCGAGGTACTGAGTTCCAGGAAAGCCAGGACCACATAAAGAGAGCCTGTCTTAAAGCAAACAAAAGAAAACAACAATAACAACAAGCCTAAAACAAAACAAAACCCCAGCCGGTTTAGAAAAGGAATTGACGAAAATAGAGGCTTTTGAGGCAGAATTGATATGTAGAAAAGCCCAAGAGGGAAAGCTACAGAACGGAGCTTTCTAGTGGGGGTGGGAAGCTCTCCCATCCCTGGCCCTTGCCCTGGGAGCTTATGGCTTCATCCTATCCTCAATGCCAGCTTTCTACGGGCACCATTGTCCCAATTCTGGGTAGACTTTCGTTCCCAGTGAAGTACCTCTTGTGTGTTCTTATTTCTGTAGAGAACCCCCAGCTCCGCTGCCTTTACAGGTCTTTTAACTTGGCTGTTCTTTACACACCTGCTCTTGTTTACACATTTGTTTCCACAACCGCCATCTCTGGAAGGGTGGAGCTGTCACTTCTGTGTCTACTTGCCTATGACGACTGGGCTTGAACACAAATTCTCAGGGCAGCGTCTAGAGCCGGGGGCTTTTGAACAGGTCAAACCAAATCAAAGCATTTGTCATCCGTGCTGAATGGCCCCCAAATCGAGCCGAGAGACTTGCAGGAAGCAGATCCCAAAACAGACCAGTTTTTCCTGAAGATTCAAAGATTCAGCCTACCTGAGTCAGAGCAATAAGGAAGTCCCTGCCTTAATTCTTACAAAACAGAAGCTGATGTTAACTGTCAGTTATTCCCCTATTGTTCTGTTCCCCTGTCCCCACCTTAGGAAAGCCACAGCTCAGGCATTGCTCTTGGGAACTGTGTTCTATTGTGTGTGAGACAGAAGTTGCAGGGACTGGTGAATCCTGACCAACCAATCAGACTTATCACTAAGTTGCGGTAATACACTGACAAGTCATAGACAAACTTTGGTACGACAATTCCTTGAGCAAAGGGCCACACTCCTTTGCTTCAAGTGGCTCGCATATTGTCTTAAAACTCGAAGCAATTTTGGTTGGAAGATGAAGGAGACAGACCTCCTTTCAGGGGCTTTGAAAATGTAGTTACTAAAATTCTGAAGTCATATCAGAATGGTCACCGATAAAAGTGCCCTGGAAGAGGGTGGGGAGACGGCTTAGTAGGTGTGGTGCTTCCTGCACAAACAAGAGGAGCCAAGTCCTGATCCCCCATATTCGAGTAGAGCACGCCTGTAACTGCAGTACTCACGGCCTGGGGCTCGCTGACCAGAGAAGCTGAAACAGTGAACTCCAGGTTCGATAAGAGAACCTGTGGTCACCCGCCCCCACCCCCCAAAAAAGTAGAGAAACACCAAACATCAATTTCTGGCATTTATATGGGTAGACTTAAGTGCACACACACACACACACACACCCCACACACATCACACACATGCACACAAGCACACAGACATCCCCGCACACAGAAAATGCTCTGAGAGAGTCAAAAAGTTCAGCTTCTCCTCTCAAGGCTCAGGGGAGAGGGAGAGGAAGCAGAATGTAGGGAGGGTGCCAGAGCCAAGGAAGCCGTGTCTTCCAGATACAGCAAAAGCCCCACATGTATGAACTCAGACTGTGGCAGCATGTCCAGGGCCTGCGCAGGGCCAAACCTGACAAAATCCCAGCGCAGAGAGAGGGAAGTGGACACAAAGTTCCATCCCTAACCAAGAAGGTGTTTCCGACTGCCACCTGCTGAGAATGGGAAAATCAAACTTTATCCGGTGGAACATCACTGGGTGTATGGACCACACTCAGGGGCAAGCCCAGGAGTAGATGGCCAACACAAAATGGATCCCTTATTTACGTGTCTATGTGTACGTATACTTTCTGGATTTTTGCTGGTTTTTGTCTTATTGATTTCCTTTTCTTAAATCACCCCCCCCCAGTTTGTGTGTGTGTGTGTGTGTGTGTGTGTGTGAGAGAGAGAGAGAGAGAGAGAGAGAGAGAGAGAGAGAGAGAGAGAGAACATGAAGTTGGGTGGATAGGGGCATGGGAAGGATATGGGAGGAGTTGGGAAAAGAAAAGAATATGATCAAAATTTTTATTGCATAAAAAATTTAAATTTCAAGCTGAGTGGTGGCACACACTTTTAATCCCAGCACTCTGGGAGGCAGAGGCAGGTGGATCTCTGTGAGTTCAAGGCCAACCTACCTGGTCTACAGAGCGAGTTCCAGGATAACCAGGCAGTTACGATCTCTGCTTGCAGCTAGTGAGAATTCCACTGGGATTCCGGCCAGAGAAAGCACTCCCTGAAAGGGAACTGCAGGTACCACTCACACTTTTAAGATGCTGGTTGGTCCATAGCAACACTACGGACTCCTTCAGCAGCCTCCATCACACTCGGTAGCACCAAGGATGAGAAGATTTGCCCTAGTTCTCAGGACCAAAAACTATTTCCAATTTCACAAAAGCAAAATGAGTCCTGACGTGTTATAAACAGGTTTCCCGCCCACCTGCTACTAAGGGTCCATCAGAGATGTGAAGATCTGTCCCGTGGAAAGGCAGGACACTGTGTGTCTTTCTTCTACTCTGATCTCTTTTTAGGCAACGTTTCTCTGAAAGGCTGAAGCCGGGACGGGGCCCTCATGAGGCTGGTGGCTTCTGCAGCGGTAGACGGGACTTTTGTAGAACTGTCGCCAGGGCCCAACCTCTGTGGAGAGGATAGGAAGCCTGGGGCAGCGTGAGGAGCGCCCTCAGCAAGTAGCCCAACCAGGAGTTTTTAGGGGCTCCTTCCGTGTGGACATCTGCTCAGTTTTCCTTGATAAAGATGCTTTTGCACGGCTGTAAAAAACAACATGCTTTGTCACGTTTCAAAAAATAAAAAGATTTCGGAAACGCTTTAGAAAAGGTGGAAGAGTTCCTCAGCGGCAATGGCATCGGCACACAAATGAAGGATGAGAATCGAGTCTCCTAAAAAAGACACCGGAAGTTCCATCCAGCTCTGTGCCTGTCCAGGCAAAGGGCCAAGAACCAGCTCTGAGATCTGTTTCTAGATATTCGTGGCAAGATCGGGGACATCAGGGGAAGGATCAGGGATGCTAGAGGGGACAGGGACTTTGAACGGGTCTGGCTTCTGTGCTCTTGTTTTGTTCCAAGCCACAAGCCATTTTCAACATTTCCAGGACACATGGCTTCACTATGTTCTTTCTTTTTTATTTTTTCTTTTCTTTTTTCTTATTTTTTTATTTTTATTTATTTATTTATTTTGCTTTGCTTTGTTTTGTTTTTCGAGACAGGGTTTCTCTGTAGCTTTGGAACCTGTCCTGAAACTAACTCTTGTAGACAAGGCTGACCTTGAACTCACAGAAATCCGATTATGTGGAGATTTTACTTGTCAAGGGGTGTTGGGGGTCGCTAAGGTTGCCTCATGACAACTTGGGGTATATTTAAGTTTGTTAAGGTTGCAATCTTTTTTTTTTTAAATATTTGTTTATTTATTTATTATGTATACAATATTCTGTCTGCATGTATGCCTGCAGGCCAGAAGAGGGCATCAGATCTCATTACAGATGGTTGTGGGCCACCATGTGGTTGCCGGGAATTGAACTCAGGACCTTTGGAAGAGCAGGCAATGCTCTTAACCACTGAGCCATTTCTCCAGCCCCCAAGGTTGCAATCTTTTTAAAATCAAACTTTTCTTATGAAAAAATTGTTGTAAGTCCAGACATTTTTCTTTAAATTTTCAGATTCTAGTCCATTTCTATTTCTATTTTTATATGTTAGAGCCCACTACACACACACACACACACACACACACACACACACACAAAATCATATAATAGTTTATATGCGCATACTCAGATTCAACAGGTCATAACATTCATGTTAGATATCTTTCATTGTAAAACCCCGAAACTGTGCGAAAGCATCGCAAGGCTGGGCTGAAGCAGTGTTGGTGTCCCTGTCTAGTGTATGCAAGGCTCCACGTTGGTTCCCCAGCATAGCACTCAGGAAAAACTGAAGCCCAAGCACCGTGCTCTGCCACTCATGTATTTCTCTCTCCATCTGTTCTGAGCAGTAATTAATAAGCTCACTTTGATGTATTTGTACTTTTGTTACAAAAGTACCGATCTGCCAACGGCATCTGTTATGGGTACGTTTTAGAAATTTACATAAGTGAATGCCTTTGCTGTCCGTTAGTTTTAATTAAGCGTACGCGTGTGACTGAGTGTGGATAAATGGAGGTGAATGCAGTTGCCCTCGGGGCGCAGAAGAGGGCATCAGACGCCCTGGAGCCCAAATGACAGAGAGTTGTGAGCCACCTGATAGAGGTGCTGGGAACCAAGCTATAGCCCCCGAAAGGACAGTGTGTCCTCTTAACTGCTGAGCCACCACTCCAGCTCGTGAAAACTACCTTGTTTTTCTTTTTCTCTATAGAGTCTCACTGTGTATCCCTGGCTGGCCAGGAACTCTATATGTAGACTAACTTGCCCTTGAAGTAGAGATATCCGCCTACTACTGCCTACAGAATGATGGGCTCTTAAGGGTGCACACAACTACTCCGAGCCAGACAATTGTTTTCTGATTTTTAAAATTCTGAGGTGCTATAAAAACCATCCTATTATGTTAAAATGAAACTTTAATTTACTTATTATTCTTGTTGCTACTATTATTATTATTTGGTTTTCTGAGAGGGTTTCTCTGCATCCTGGCTGTTCTGGAACTCAGAGAGATCCTCCTGCTCCTGCTCCTCTAGTGCTGGGATTAAAGACATGCAGAGCACTGCCCAGCAAAACAATGATTTGTTGTACTTCTCTTTTGCTACTTTGAAACAGGGTGTTGCTATGTAGTCTGGGCTCACCCTCAAACTCACCATCCTCCTGCTGTAGACTGCTGAGTGCTAGGAGAAAAACACTGTCACCTCTAAATCCACTTGACCGTGGATTATAGGTAGTTTTCCCACCTTTTCAGTTGCTGCCAGTGCTACGAAGCGCACCCAGGAGTCCTTGTGGGGACGCTAGGATTCTCTAGGGTAGATGCTTAGAAACTAATATCGTGTTGCGGGAAATCACATCTTCACCAGATACTGCCAAGGTTTCCCCCAGCATCATTGGATCAGTTACAGCTCAGCACTTACCAGTTCCTCCGACACCACAGTTGGCCTTTTAGTCCTGAACGGTGCCAGTACAGTAAGTGGAAAATGATACCTTCTGGTGAATTTGGCATTTTCTTCCGATCATCTTTTCCTGCTGATTTGAATGCTCTGAATGGAATATTCATATTCATGGTTGTCTTTTTTCTTAATAAGTTCTCATACTTCTTCCAATGTTCTGGACAATTTTCCCTTTATGATAGGCCACTGAATTCTTGCCTCCCATCCTGCTGTCTTTTCATTTTGTCGTGACTGACTTCTTTTGTCTATGTAAAGTATGTCTTAAGACACTGCATCTTTTCCAGCTATCTCTTATACCTCTGTATTTTTTTTCTTTTGGCTGAGGAATTACAAGGTGGGGGGCCCTCTTTCAGCTTTACTGAAATTTGGTTTTCACTGGCAAGCATTTTGACATGTGTGTATGTGTGTGTGTGTCTGTTGTGACTTGTGTGTATTCAGTGGTTACATCAATAGCAAAATCCAGAGGCTGAATTTCATTTAATATTCCCAATCTATGGGATAAATAACTTGACCAAGAGCTTAAATGCTCTCTGCACGGTCACATGACTGGAAAATGCCTGAGCATGATGTGGAGGAGTATATTTGGGTTCCTGTTCTTGACCACAACCCTTCCTTCTCATCTTTAATACCACAGTGGAGGTGGGATGCTTAAGCTAGGTTTTCTGTATTCAGAGGTAGACGTCTATTATCATAGCAGCAGTATATACTCAGTATCTAACAATAGATGGATAACTCAGTATGAAAACTGTATGTTACTGAACTCCACAATGTCATAATTTGACAGTCTAAACAATTTCCTATGGATTCATACAGATTCTCTGCCAAACAATGGGACATACTTTCTTATTTGATTTGTAGAGCTTCTTTCTTTCTTTCTTTCTTTCTTTTTTTGGTTTTCAAGACAGGGTTTCTCTGTAGCTTTGGAGCCTGTCCTGGAACTAGTTCTTGTAGACCAGGCTGGCCTCCAACTCACAGAGATCCGCCTGCCTCTACCTCCCAAGTGCTGGGATTAAAGGCGTGTGCCACCACTGCCCGGCTTAATAATTTACCTTCTAGTGGATACCTAGTGTTTATTGGAAATTACTGGTGTTTGGAGACACAAAGGTGACATCGACAAGCAAGGGGAGATACACAAAAAACACAGATTATTCCCAATAATGATAATACAATAGTGGCTGAGAGGATGGTGCAATGACTTTGTGTGGTCAGGGAAAGGCAAGAACTAAGGAAGCCTTTGTGGTCTGAACAACTGGATTGATGGCAACTCTATCAATATTGGAGGAGAAACGGGAGGGGAGTGGATCGGCTGGAGAAGCGGATGGAGAGTTCTGCTGGGCCATAGTCTTGTTGAGAGGGTGATTGGACAGCTGCACGGAATTGTCACCCAGGGAAATGGAACACGAAAGCCTGGAATTTAGGGAGGAAAAGGTTACGTTAAGGCATTAATTTGGCAGTGGTTTCTAAAACCGCGAGATTCCATGGAATCATCTAGGGACAATATTGCCTGAGGAAAAACGGGAACAAGAACAATAACTATGCTCTGCAATGACCCGAGTTTCTCAAGGCTCAGCAGCAAAGAACTGGGTAAGAGAGACCAAGAGGATGCATTGGTGAACTTGGTGGGAAAATAAAAATGCTTTTGGCCACTAGATTATAAAAAAGGAAAATTGAAATAATGAAAAAGTCATTATCCTAAATAATAAAAACGGCTTAAGTAGGATTTTTTTAAAAAAAATCTTACTCTATTTTATGTGCCTTGGTGTTTTGCCTGCATGTATGTCTGTGTGAGGATGTTGGGTCACCTGGAATTGGAGTTACAGGCAGTTGTGAGCTGATATGTAAGTGCTGGGAATTGAACCTGGGTCCTCTGGAAGAGCAGCCAGTGCTCTTAGCTGCTGAGCTATCTCTCCAGCCCCCTTAAGTAGGATTCAAAAAAAAAAAATGATGATGTAAGTGCTGGGTTTGTCAACATGAAGCTTGTTGATAATTTTGACAAGTCGTTAGTCCATCAGTGGGGCGGGAAGAAGGAACGAGCATTGGGAAATTATTAGATGAGTGACAAGAGCAGGGGTGATGACAGTGACTAGGACAATCCTTTCAGGACTCTTGGCAGTACACATGAGAACTCAGAAGTACACCACTGACAAGGTTGGGTCTTGGAGTCTAGGAAACGCTATTCTTTAAGAGGTCTGGGAGGGTACAGCACCAAAGACCTTCTGGCTCTTCTTCATTGAGCTTGGGGTTATATTAAATGGCATGGGAAGGGGACATTAACACTGATCATCTACTGACCCTAAAATAGAGGAAGCTGCGGAGGGGAGAGATTCTGGGTCTGTTGAGCTACTTACGTGCTAAGGAGTTAGCTCCATGGGTACAGCTTTTCTGACTCTTCACCAGTGTTTGGATGGGTTTTGTTTGTTTGTTTGTTTGCTATTGTTTTGTCTTGTTTGGTGATGCAGCTGCTTTTCTGAGTTATCCCTGCTCCTGTAACTAACTCCTGACTCATACTCCTGTTAACAACCCCATTCAAAACTCTTTGGTTCGGGGGCTGGAGAGATGGTTCAGAGGTTAAGAGCATTGCCTGCTCTTCCAAAGGTCCTGAGTTCAATTCCCAGCAACCACATGGTGACTCACAACCATCTGTAATGGGGTCTGGTGCCCTCTTCTGGCCTGTAGGCAGACACACAAACAGAATATTGTATGCATAAT